TTCTTACTATCTTTAATGTCAATAGAATCTGTAATGTTGTTCACTTTTTTAATGCTTGATATTAATTGTGTTTTCCCTTCTTTCTTCTTGGCAGAGATTTATCAATTATATTAGTCTTTAAAAAGAGCCAGCATTTGCCTTTGTTCATCCTCCCTGTTGTCTGTTTTCTCTTTCATTAATTACTACTCTTATCTTTATTACGGTCTTCCTTTGGGATTAATTTACTATTATTTTTCTTACTCTTTAAGATGGCTAACTAGATCATTTATTTTCAGTCTTTCTAGTTGCCTGACATAAACATTTAAAACTCCACAATTTATTGTAAGCACAACTTGAGCTCCTTGCCAGACGGTTTGGCTTTGACTTCTTATTACTCAAGATGAGTAAAAATGTTTTTTAACTTCTATTTTGATTTCTTGGTCAAAATTCCATTGCCAAATTTCCCAGTATATGGAGGTTTTTCTAGTTGTCTATTTTGTGCCTGATGAATGACTTAATTGCTTTATGGTCAGATGCAGTGAACTTGGCAAGCAGCCTATTTTGAAATTTTTCTCTGTGAGCTTGAAAAGGAGGTTACTGATTGTATTGTTCTTTATATATTCATTGATTCAATTTGTTGATTGTGTTCAAATCATTTATATTCATACTGATTTTTACTTTTGTTAGCTTGTTCTGACAGTTACTTAGAGATGTATTTTCAGTTCTGCTGTCATAGGTCAATCCTTCTTCCTTGTAGTTTTACCAGCTTTTATTTTATATGTTCTGAAGCTTTATTATTCAGTTATTATAATTCATATTAAATTTGTAATATTTTCGTGATGAATCAGATTATAAATTGATAGTAAATGGTCTGTTTATCTCTAAATAATGAGTAAGTAGTAAATAAAATTTTGCCTTAATGTCTTGCTAGACTAGTATTAATATGTCTATACAATACCTTTTTATAATATATCCTTTTCCATATTGTCCTTTTAATTTAATTTAACCTCTGTGCTTTGTTTTAAATCTCTCTCTTCTTTCTGACACTCTCTATTAATTTTAGCATGCTGTCCCTCCAAATTTAATAAATTTGAATTCACTAAATAAGGCAGACATTCAATCAATTTATCAATATATTTAGATTTAAACCTGTGGTTTTTACAAAGTCTCTCCCTTATTCTTGCTCTTTCCACCCTCGCCAACACACACACCCTCATGTTCTATATGTTTCTGAGGAATGTAAGTGCCTTTCACTGTATTTTAGTTGTTAGCTCGGAGTTGACAGTATGACCCAGAACTGCCTGCCAGTGTTACTTTTATTGTTTTCCCAATCAGTGTAGAAACTCTGTTTGTCTATTTTCCATCTGTTTAATTTCTCTTTGATATAGTTCACCTTTGTGCTCGCATCATGCTTTGAAAGATTTTCTTTGGATTATCTTGCACTGCCTAATTCCTTGGTATTTAAAATCATGTTTAATCCATGCACTTGGGGTTTTAATTATAATCATTGTAGTTTCCACCTTTCAGAGTTATACTTTGTTTTTCAAACCTCATGTTCATTTTCATCAACTCCTCCCTGGTCATATTTTCAAGTTTCTGTTTTGCCTTAAACACACTACACGTCACTGTTTACTCTCTTGTTTGATTTCATCCACTGAAGTCTTGGGTTTCAGATTTGACTTTTGCTTTTGCTGGCTCTTCTCATGATGCTGCTTGTCCTTATGTATTTTTTCAGTTTTAACTGTGAATTCATATTTTCTTGGGATAAGTTTTTTGTGACTAAGTCAGTTGAGTATTTGGAAGAATATTCAGATGTCTGTGTTGAGGAAGCCCAAGCTTTATTTTAGCATGCAGATAACAGACAGAAGTTCAAATTTCAATATTTGGAAAAAATGATAAAAGTGAAAATTGACTTTGGAGCTTAGTTACCTCCTGAGGTCTTAACAATACTGTTATTTCATACATTCTGGTGTTTTCTTAATTTAGTGTTCAACCTCAAGTTGACTTTCTCTCTTTGTTTTTAAAGGAAGGTTTAAAAATCACCTGGTATTTTACCTTTAAAATTGAAAAGACAAGCAGTCTTCTAAATATACTAGACATGTAATCACAATTACTAGATATATAATCACAATGTGTATTTCTTTACTAAAAATAATTTCAAGCATTTTGCATAACATTATCTTCAAAACATGACATTATTTAGGTACCTTTCTTTCTTTATTACTTTTGTGCAATAGCAAGGAAAAGGAGACTATCTAACAATTAATGTGTAATACTATGTGCCAGATTTTGTTTTTAAATGCCTTATACATTTTAAATCACTAATTCCCCTCTGCATCTCTATGAAGTATTTATAGTTATTATTCCCATTTTATAGATGGGAAAATAAAGAACTAAAAATTTGAGTAAATTGCTTATGGTCACATAGCTATTAAAATTTAGAATAGAAGTATTATTAAGTTGAAAACAACTAGGTTAATAAATGGTTATTATTACCTCAGAGTGAAAGGCAGGTAGATTTTGTTGCTAACTAGCTGTGAATTTGTCTCCACAATTTATGTAGCAACTAACTGAGCTGCTTCTTAAAACAAACAAACAAACAAACAACAGGGCCCTAAGTTTGATATTTGTTTTTACTTGCTGTTTAGTTTCAGTTTACTGATATTTTATCTTGTTTTGTTCTTATTTATTTTTATTATCACTTTGTTATACATTCATTAGAAACTCATCAACCAGAAAGCCTCCTCACTGTTCTCTATACCACCCTCTTTCCTGCATCTCCCCCACATCCTTGTCATATAGAACTCTACCACTAAGAGTTTGGAGTACATCCTTCAGAGGCTTTCTCAGCGTAATTATGTATATTTACACATGTGACTACATGTATAAATTTAATAGCTATTTTAAACACACAAAATTACATATATGCAAACAAATACGCATTTCTGCAGTCACCAATGGGCAGACATTATGAAGAAATTTAAAATCACATAGAAAACAGCATGTGATGGAATGGGACAAAATACTGGTTATTTAAACTAGTGGTGCCATCTCTGGGCTGGGGAAATACTTGATGAGTACTACCAAATCTAGAATTGAATAAAAATATTGATAAATGTGGTCATGTAAAATATGCAGCTTTCATATATAAAACAAATTATAAACAAGATTTTTTTCAAAGATAAGAAAGCAACAAACCGGAAAAATGTTTGTAACTGTTGTGACAAAGGACTAATTTCTTTAGTAGCTATAGAGATACCTTAAATCACGAAGGAAAAAGTCAGGTGAAACAGCTCAAGGGAAAAGTGACATATGGCAACTTCTTTACTTTTGTTTGAATTTTCACAATGTTCCAAAAACTGAACTAACAACTTAAAATGCTGGGTTTTGTTTCAGTCTAGCAAAACTCTATGATATGGATATTGTGATTATGCCCATTTTGGTCAGAATGTTGTTCAGATTGATTAAGTCACTGTTCTGTAGTGACTTAGCTTGTTAGAGAGCTAGAGCTTGAACTCAGGCTGTAAATCACTTCTCATAAACACTGTCTTAAAAGATAGTCCCTAATAAGGAAATAAGCTAGAAATCACTGAGTAATAAAATGGACAACCAGCATATATAAATGTATTCAAATTAGCTTATCATTTAAAGAAGTGAGAGATTAAATACATACACTCACATGCACACTTTTATGTGTTAACACATGAACGTATGTATAATGTACCTCTCAATGGGCAATGATCAAAATGTATTGATAGCACTCCATCATGTCAAGAGGGTTAAGCCACTGGATATCTCTTCCTCTGTTGACAGAATTGTGTCAATTTATACAAACTAGATGATATCTCTCAGCCTTGATTTGCTTATATGTAAATTGGGAATCACCCTTACTTAGTGAATTATTGGGACTGTTAGAGACTAACTATGAACAATATTAGTGTGTCACCTGGCATATAGTAGTGCTCAACGGCTGTTATGTGTTACTGTGTTACTCCCACCAAGTCCCTCCCCACAAAATTAAAAGACCTCACATGTACCTCTTTACATTTCAAATACAAAGTAAAGGATCAATAGGCTAGTATGTAAGTGAAAATGACATCCAGGAAGAATATTCTAGGAGCTCAAGGGCTCTCCCCAGGGCATTGGATTTGCAGATTATTCCTTGGCCCATTCAATCCCACATCCCAGGTCTAATCTGCATTTCCACGCAAGTCACAGAAGACCATGGATGCAATGAAAGGAGCCTGGAGCCCCATGAAAATAACTTGTGGCATCATCCCCTACAGTGCCTTTGGGATGGTGCAGTTATGGTTTACAGTCAAGTTCTCTTCAACCCATTTCAGGTCCAAGTGCTCCCCAATCCATTTCAAGGCATGATTTTTAAAATAAAATGTTTATTAGTTCACTGTAGGTTTGCAAAATTATCTAAGCTTGGAGCATACAGCTTCATGCTTCAATATGTTTGTATAACCTGCCCCACACCCAGTACCAAGATTCTAGTGCCATCCCCTTGTCAGCCGACTCCCTCTACTCATGAGGCCATGTTCATTATCTGTGGCCGGTGAGTCTAGAAAGTATAAATTTTAAGTAACTAGAAAACACAAACACTCTACTAGTGTCCTCTTTTTTCCAACTATCTTCTGGCAGCCATGTGTCAATTAAGAGAGAAATACTGACTTAGAGGCAACCTGACTAGCTTTAGTCTGGAAATTTCCTATGCAGAGGACCATGTGACAATACCTGCAGGTTTAAGTTGCTTTTCAGAGCCAGCATCTCCTCTGGGGAACGCTGGGTTCCGGGAAGGTGCGGTTACAAAGATTCTTACAATTTGAATGGTCCTGGGTCTTGTGACCTTCACCTCAAGACTTTTGCCAGTGCCAATCAGTTTGGCCGTCTTTTATATCCAGGTGTTTAAAGAAACTTTCCAATAGGACTTTTCCAGTTGTATAATTATGAAAAACTTGGCAAAATGAAGATATCACGATTCTGGAGAAAATGACATGAGTGTGTTTTGTCTGCAGCACATTTAACTGGACGGTCCCCTTCCTGTCGTTCCTGGCCTGCTTGATCCTGGCAGTCACCACCATCACTTTGTATTTCATCCCACTTCGGTACATCATTTTAATCTGGGGTAAGTCTGGCACACTCTTTTTGCTAGCAATCAATTCCAGGTAAGAACCAATTACTCATTTTTAAAGTGTGACCATAAACTTTAAATGTGCTCTTGTTGGCAATTAAACATGAGATGGAGGAAAGCATTTTAGGAACAGAAACTTCCAGGACCTCCCTGAAAAGGCCAGTTGCATGAAGGATTAGCATAGATATTTATAGACCACTTGCATAATTGCAATCAAATAAAAATGTGATTGTGCATGCGATTTCCCCCTGGGCTTTCATAGTCTTGAATACTCTTGAATAATATATGACTGTGGCCCAGAAACTTTCAGGAAACGCTGCTTTTCAGACAGTGAGCAAACACCTGCATCTTGCCCTTTCTGTTATGTAAAAGGAGATCTGGAGGCTGCTGGGTTGTTCCTGACACTTCATCTCTCCTGGAGGAAAAAAAAATAACTGAACCCAACACTTAAATCCAGAAGCAATGGTTGGAGAGAGGGCCGAGGCAAGAGGAAGGCCCCGAGTAACTACCTAACCAGTGTCTGAAAAGAAGAGGAAGTTATTTCTCAGGGGAAATCGTCTGCCTCCATAAAGTTTAGCTACTTTAAAGAAAGTAGAAACAGAAATGGCAAGCCTGAAATGCAGATCATGACTTGATTTACTGCTTAGGTTAGTACCTGGCGAAAACACCAGCTTTGTGAATATTTGTGTCTGGAACGGGGTGGACTCTGGGTGGATAGGGTAGGAGATTGTGGTGCTATAAATTAATCTTTGGAGAAACTTTCTCCAGGAGAGATTGCCAGTCCTGGATTTTCCATGATTTGGTGTCTTGAATGATGCTGGGCTCTCTGCCATGGGGATTTTCGGGTGTCAGGAAGCTCAGAGAAGTTAGGAGCATCAGTGACAGGTTGAGATGCAGGAGCCTCCACTTTTCCCTATAAACGACCTCAAAGAGAACCTATAATTTTGGGATTTCCATAGACAGGGGAGGTCCCATGTTCCCTGTCCAACCCAGGGGAGGGCGGAGCCGGGTAAGATCCTAGAAATATCACCCTGTTCCAAACCCACACAGAGAGAATATCTTCTTAACAAGGAAAGCCAAACCTGGACATTCAGAAATAGAAAAAAAAATCATGGGAAAATGAAAATAATATGTAAAACATCAATAGAGAATGATTTTGAGAGCGCATAATCCATTCATTTTCTATTTTGTCCAGGAGGCAAAAAAAGAAGACTCCCTCCTTTGTAGCATGTCCAAGAGGAGGAAAAAAATCTAACTTCCTTTTCATGGGTCCAGTTCATTACTCCATGAGATGAACCTCATTCTTGGGGGAAATCTCCGCACAGTCTGGGTTTAGTTTTTATCTGTCTCCCGGTTTTATTCACTTTTGCAACAGCTCTGCCACACTGGTCTGTTTGTCTCCCAGGAAGGACAGCCTGGGATGCTTCAGGGCCCATTGATTAAGAAGATATTTTATGAAAGTATTTCCCTGAATATCTTAAATACTGGATGTTATCTATAAAGATAAATGATCTCGTATTTTCTTAATTGCATTTCATAAGTAAGAGTTTCCAGATTCATTTACTGATGACATTTGGAGCACAGATCTTCAAATGTGTTGTCTGACCCTAACAGAATTCAAAATTATAATCATTTTGTTTATTGTTAAGTCGGTGTAAATTAATAGCATGGTCAAACAGCTTGTTCAACACTTTGTTCCATGGTTTCTTTGTCATTCAGATCCTGACTTTTTTTAATTGAATGAACATTGATTTACAACACTATGTGTGATGTAGAGGTATAGGATCACATCCTTCAGATCTGCATTACCCCATCTTACCCACCATCGTGGCCCTGAAAGTCCTCCCCTATAGCCAGTCGTGACCTCTCCCCACTTTGCTCTCCCGTGCTACCTCCACTCGGGTAGCCTCAACTCTACAGTCTGATTTCTAGGGTTTATTATTGGTTTGGTGTTACCTGATCCTTTGTTTTGTTCCCACATTGTGACATCATTTAGTATTTGTCTTTCTCCTGAGTTATCTGATTCAGCATAATCCTCTCCAGCTCTATCCATATTGTCAAGAAAGTCAAGAGTTTATTGTTTTTTGGTTTTTTTTATAGCTGAGTATTCCATTGTGTGCATATACCATATTTTCCTAATCCACCCATCTTTCTTTGGACACTTAGGTTTATTCCATAGCTTGGTTACTATAAATAGTGTTTTCATGAACGTGGAGTACATATGTTCCTTACAATGAATGTTTTTTTAACATACAAGAATGTTTTTACATTCTTTGGGGTGATACCTAGGAGTGGAATTGCTGGGTCATATGGTAGATCTATTTATTCTTTTGAGAAATCTCCATACTCTTTTCCACAGGGGCCAGACCAGTTTACATTCTCACCAGTTGCTATAAGGGTTCCTTTTTCTCCACATCCTCACCAACATTTGTTGGTTTTGGTCTTTCTGATATGGGACGTTCTCACAGGTGTGAAATGGTACTTCATTGTGGTTTTGATTTGTATTTTCCTGAAAATAGATGATGATAACATTTTATCATGTACCTGTTAGCCATCTCTAAGTCTTCTTTGGAGCAATATCTTTTTAGCTATTCTGCCCATTTTTTGGTTGAGTTATTTGTTTTCTTTTTTATTGAATCGTATGAATTCTTTATAGATCTTGGATATCAGCTCCTTGTTAGATGTATTATGTGCAAATAGTACCTCTCATTAAGTGTGATGTCTTTTTGTTTCAGTGATAGTTTCTTTCATGGTATAGTAGCTTTTAGTTTGATGTAGTTCCAATTGTCTATATTCTGTTTTTCTTGCTGTTGGAGACAAATCCACAAAGATATCACTGAAACCTTTTTCGTGGAGAGTTTTATTTAGGTTTTCTTCTATGTATGTATGGTTTCAGGTATTACAATCAAGTCTTTTATACATTTGAGTTCTTTTGTTTTTTAATATTTATTTATTTTATTTATACAAGCACTGAGTACAGTCAGAAGCGCGGGAGGGTGAGAGGATTCACCAGAGCCAGAGCAGGGAGCAGAGCAGGCAGAAGGACTGAAATACACTGCTGAGAGGAGCAGCGGGCAGCAGGAGAGGTCTGCGTGCCATGTGGGACCCTTGCCAGTGGCCTGGGATCGAACTGGTGCTGCAGAGGCTGCAGGCAGCTTTGCAACCCAGCGCTCAAATGTTGCGCCACTGGGGAGGTCCTCTAACACCATTTATTGAAGAGACTTTCCTTGTTTCAGTTTATGCTCTGGGCTTCTTTGTTGTAGATTAGCTGTTCAGATAGGTGTGCATTTATTTTTGGATATTCGATTCTAGTCCATTGGTCTGTGTGTCTGTTTTTGTTCCCATGTGAGGAGCAGACTTGATTTGCTTTTCTTCATCTTTCCCTCTTCAAAGAAGACTATGCTGTGTTTCCTGCTTTGATCATCCCTTTTCATCCCTCTTTCTCTTTATGCAAAATGACTTTGACTTCTCATGTTTCCTCCAGTTCTCAGCAGCTTTCCAATGCCAACTTTTTGCATCTACTCGATGAGACATTGTTTTATTTAATATTCAGCTTGTGGGTAAAATTATTTAATAACATGGGGATTTATTATGCTCTCCTGGGAAGACATCAAGCCTTTGAGCTTTATATTTTGTGTCTGGTTCCCTAGTTTTATGTTCTAGACAGGGATTCATAGTTTATTGATGAGCTTACCACAGATAATGTATTCAGAAGCCTTGACCATCAACGCATGATCTATTGCCTTCCCTCCTCATCTAAAACCTGCATTTCTATCATGTCATTTCCATGACACCATGGAAAATACTGTATAATTCTATTAGGACTTACTCTTTCCCAGGACAAGTCAGTTATTAGCTATCATGCACCCAAAATATTCTTTTGTGCATCTGTTACATGATTGTGTGTCTGGAAGCAACTTTCTAATGTGAAGAAGATAATTTTATATGTTATATTTCTAGTGTTGCTTATAACTGTATTAAGGATCAGAAGACTATTAAATACTGATTCCTTTTCATTGACTTCTAAAAGAGGTGAATAAAATACTATGCTTTCTTTGGTCAATGTTTTTAATCCTTTGAAACAAAAGTATTTGACTGTATGCTCCTTATTTCCAAATTTATACACTCAAATAATACTTACACACTTTGGTTGTATAAATATATAATATATATATATATATTTTTTTGCACAATTGTTAATGTACCTGAATTGTTTAACATGAGAATATGAAAGCAACCTAATATCATGGTGGCTGGAAGGAACAGCTCTTCACTCACCAACATCATTGGAAGTTCTTAAAGGATGAGTCATCTTCTTCACTCCCATAATTTCGGTCCTCTTCACCCCCATAATTCATGATGATGCTCCCTGAAGGTAGAACAACAAGAACTTGACAAATAGTTTATGAATGGATGAATCTGCTATTTTAATGCTTGCAAGCTACACAGTTGACCTTTTATTTTTCCTGCCCACCATCTCTTTTATGGGAATGTAATTTTGCAAACTAAGTGAGAACTAACTGAAGGAAGGTATCTAAAGTTTTCTTTAAGAAATTATATTCTATTGAATTTTGGTCATTTATTTCATGTATTTCTAGAAGGCAGAGCAGTTTTTAGGATGAGATCCCATATGGGTTTTTTGTTCCTTTTGAGAACTTCCCCATATTCCTTTCATTCTATTCTTCATCAGAGGCTTTAATCAGAAATCCTTTTTAAGTGCTGGTCTGAGCCACTTCTGTTTGTCCAAAGTAGATATGAGCTCCTCATGCTAGAGCCTAAGCATCTTAAAAGAAGGAACCATGACTTTTGGAGCTTTGTATCTCCCTTTGAGAGCTCAACATCCCTCTATCCAAGGCACTTGGTATTTAATATATGAACAAGTAGAACCCTTTGTCCCACACCATCCCTCCCATAATGTATAGCACCTGTGACTAATGAGTCATTCTGATAAGTAACAGGAAAAGTGTTAGACTTTTGTTTTAAGGGAGTGTTTTCCACTGGCCATATATACAAAGCAGCCATATATTTTTTTCTTTTCTCTGACTTTCTCCAAGTGATTTTTTTTTTTTCTGGAACATTCATTCCATCCCACCAATCTCCTCATCTATGATCTGGGGTCGTTGAAGATAGTTGTCTTCTTAAAAGTTAAAAGTTAGCCCTTGGTATTTGGATCCCAAGTTTATTATTATTTTATTATTTTTACTAAAAAATAAGAATTCACAGCAGATATGCCCTCTATTTCTATGATTTATCTTAAAACTCCTGACTTGCTAGATAAAGCTGCAACTTCCAAAAGTGGGTCTTGGCAATGCCCAGTATAGTATGAAGACCCTCCCGTCACTGCTTCCTTTGTTGTCTTGACTTATGGAAATCAGAGCTGTGATGTCGTCCCCTATGGTTGTGAGATTTCAGGCTGCTGAATCCTCTTGCCTGTTGTCATCCAATATGAGCCTCTCTTTAACCTAAGAAACTGCCTTGTGTATTCAACTTGTAGTCTAAGATATCTTAGCAAGGAAGGTTAAGTGATTGGCCTGAAACCACCCTGCTAACAGGTAATACAACCAGAGCAGGGGCCCACGTGGGGCTCCTCCTGCTCCAGGACCTTGTTCTTAACACCCCAGGGTCCCTTAAAAATGACCAAGGAGTGGGCCTCCCTGGTGGTGAAAGAGGTTAAGCAACACCACTATGAAGCTATCCATAGCCTCTGCAGCAAGAGTTCGATCCCTGGCCAGCCAGGGAGCTACCCACATGGTGCAGACCTCTCCTGTCTTGCCCTTGCTCCCCTCAGCAGTGGATTTCAGTAGACCCACCTATTCTGCTCCCCACTCTGTCTCTGGTGAATCCTCTCACCCCCTGAACCTGTGGCTTGTACCCCAGTTCTTGTATGCATAAATAAATAAATCTTTAAAAAAAAATGACCAAGGAATACGTGCTCTCCTGATGATACTTGATGGCACCCGGTGGGCAATATGGTGGCAATTCTGAACTTGGAAGCTGTGACACCTTCAAAATAAGGTGTGCTTTTGAAAGTTGCTATCTGCATGTGCTTATTAGTTTTATTCCAATGAAGTTTTTCAAGCACAGACAGTCTCCATGCTTGGTGGACTACTTCTGCCCTTATTGGTGCACTTGAGCTACTGTGCAGGTTTATAATCTTCTCAGTGACTAAGAATGCAGTGTTTTGATCAGCTGTGATATTATCCCTGCCTTGCTGCGCATTGTACAGACTCCAGATGCGCACACTGTGTATAATTAACAATAGGAGATATATCTTTTCTCAATACGTCTTTTGTCTCCGTTCATCATTTTTGCCTAGTCTGTTTTCTTTTGCCAAAAAGCCCATGCTACAATTAAATATCTTTAGAATAACAGTGAAAGTATTTCAGTTTAAAGGAATGTGTGTGTATGCGGGGATGGGGGTGTGGAGGGGTAGCTGGAGGGGGCGGGGGAGGGAAGTAACATTTTAGCAAGAAACATGAAGCCTGCCGTGGGGCTAGAGGGAAGAGACAGACAAGAGTGTGGCTTTGACTTGACAGAAAGGCGCTCGCTTGAAAGGAGCCTCCCAGCCCCATTGCCGGCTGCCCTTTATGCCTGAACAATGACTGGCTGCCATTTGCAGAGCAGAGGTGACTCTGGCCCTCTAAAGTAACGACCGCAGGTTGGCATTGCATCAGGCAGACGGCCACGCAGGAAACCCAGTCCTTAGATGAAAGCAGAATAATATTTAATGAAAGAAACAGCACATCAAACCGCTCATATGTTGGGGACAGTGGAACAGTTCCCGGTGACCTTGACTTCAGAGGAGGGGCCCGTGGGCCACAGCTTAGGTGAGAGTTCTCGGTGTCAGGGGGACTGACAAGGCCTTCAGATGGAATCCTTGTTAAAACAGCACTCTGGGGCCAAACTTCAGAAGCCACCTCCTCTTTCTGCCTTTAAAACTCAGCAAGAAAAAGGGTTGACATTTGGTGAAAAGACCACCGCTTAGGGGCTCTGCAAACAGGTGCAGCGGCTGCACGCACCAGAGCCGGAGACCAGAGGTCTAAAAAGAAACCATGGCCAGGACGTGTCCTCCACATGCCCACGAGCCCCGGTCAGCCACCGAGGAGAACACTGTCTGGCACGTTGACACCTTCAGCACCATCCCTTGCTCATTATCATCATCCCCCTCCGAAATTAGCCACACGCCGTGGCGAGGCCAGCCCACGCACCAGTGTTGCGGGCCACAAATGAAGCCAGTGATGGGAGGACGATAATTTTCCAATAATAACTTTTTCACAGTTGCCTGCAGCATCAAAGCCCAACCAACATGTCGAGTTCTGTTCTGCAGGGAGAGGAGAGGCGCCTGTGAAAATGAGGTGCAGAGCGGGAGACCGATGTCTGCAGTTTGCTTTTAGCAACAAAAAAGCCAACTCCCGCCTCCCCCTCGAACGGCTACGTTATGTCCAGAACCCCCAAGCTGGGACTTGTTCGGGCTGGTGCTGGCCTTTTCCCATCTGGGACATCGGTTTTCCTAGCAGAGGAGGCTGTTAATCAGCCTTGCCCGAAGAGCCGGTGTGCTCTGCAGTGTGCGAGCATGTTTCTGCCGCCCTGCTGCTGGGACTGTAATGGATTTTCACAGCTGAAGAAGGCAGAGCTCCTCGTGGACAATCCCGGCTTCCCTACTTCAGGAAAAGGCCTCTGTGAAGACAGCACCGTGTGTGCCTTGAGGTCCCGTCATTGTTTTCACACTAATTTGTATTTGTGAGTGATCCCCTCCCCCAGGCAGGCGAGTTTTTAAAGATAGATGATTGATAGAGAGAGAGGCAGACAGATACATATGATTGATAGATAAATATAGATATGATTGATAAATAGATAATTCACTGATAAATTCTTGGTAGGTGATAGGCAGATAGATGATTGATTGATAGACAAATGGATAAAGAGATCTATTGGTGTTTCTATTTTTCAGGCATAAATAAATTTACGAAGAAACTCCGAAACCCCTATGCCATCGACAATAATGAGCTACTAGACTTCCTCGCCAGGGTACCCTCTGATGTTCAAAAGGTACGTAATGAACGGTCACCACCGACAGGGGCCCCAGAACGAAGTCTGGCCAGCCCCAGAGGCACGGTGCACCCACGTGTGGGTAATTGAGATAAGGAATCAGAAAATCCTTAAAGAGGCTTGGCTTGCAGGGAGGTGGCAAGAAAACCTTTGTCCAAAGCTTGAGATGATTGGGGAAAATTATCCTGAAAAAAACTACTTAAGAATGATCTGGAACTCATACTGAGCAACTGGCCACCGTAGTGTTTGTCCCTTTTTTGATTGCCACCCCCCAAAGAGGATAAGATGGGCTCCGTGAGTGGGGAGCTTGAGATCCCAAGCTGGGGGATGCTTTCTTATTTTCCTCCTCTTCTGGATGGCAGGCATTTTAGGGGAAGGAAGGGACAAGAGGATTATTCTTTTTGTTCTTGTTTGCCCCGATTATCTCCCAGACTTCCCTCTGTCCCTTTCTGTCTGAAGACTTAGGGATGCCGAGGGCAAAGCCCCCACTTACTCTAATACACAACGAGGCAGAGACGGCATGAAATAATTTGAGATCAGTCGGAGTATTATTCACAGGTAATGGTCCCTTAGCCCAGCAGCGACCCGTTTCTGTGGATACACAGAGATTAACCGAGGCAACAATGCCGGAAAGTCCCATTGAGCAGCCCTTCCTGGGCCCCTGCAGCTTGGGCTCTCTAAATCCCATGGAATGAGGGCAGGCAACGATTTCTCTAATAGAGAACAGGGCTCGTAGACTAGGTAGATGCGGCACATGGCATGAAATAGCATCGTGACGATCAAAGACACAGTCCTTTCTTAGCTGAGAGACTCCCAAATCAAGTATCGATTTTTATCACTGAGCCACTGCTGTAAACATAACAGGTCCCCAGCAACTGTAGGGGGGGGGTTGCAGAAATGAGGGTTTGAAAGACCCCTCCCCCATGTGTCTTTCCTCTTCATTCCCAGTTCTACAGGTTAAAATAGAGTCTGCGAAGCTATTTTCCTTTAGTCTTCATTTTATGACAGAATTAGCTAGGAAAATGCATTCTCTCGATACGCATGCGTTGACTTGGTAACATCTGCGTTACCTGATTTTAGAATAATAACCTGATCCCTATTTGCTCTGCGTTGAAGATTGACAGGTGGGTCATCCTTGCTTCCCGAGGGACGCTTCCTAAAACACTCGGAGAAAGGGGTGCTTCTCTTCAGGTATCTGTGTCCTCAAAGTGTAGCTCAACTTATGTGATAGCCGTCATGTCCCTGGGGACTTTGGCACAAATGCTAAAAATAATGAGCACCCACGTGCCAAGCGGTGCAATTGCAGGCTCTGTCCCTGGTCCAGTAGTGTGAGTTCTTGCCTGCATCCTTCAGAAGTGGCAATTCCCCTCAAGCTTCCCCAAGGATTCTGCCTACACAGTTCAGGCACTGACCCTCGGAGCATTCGAGAAGGTAGACAGAGCTAGTCAGAGCCTCTGTATCGGCAAGAGCGTTTTCTGATCACACAATGGACAGTTTGCCACCGGGGACTCTCCGAGAGCTCATATTTATTGCAGATGTTTTAACCATTACATTGCAAATGAAATCCACTCTTAAGAGAAATCTCTATAAGTCAGGGTTTCGGTATCCATTTCAACATTTTTCTCCCTCTCTAACAAAATAAATAGATGTAATTTGCAGAGATATTTTTTCCCCAAGATTTTAGATATTTTTAAATGAATAATTCTTAGTAAGCTGCTGTATCATATATTAAGATAAACATTCCCAAGAGGCAGTTATTAAGCTCACTTAGGGTGGAAAAGGGGCGCCCACAAAACTAAAATCATCTGCCGATGCCGAGAGCAGGTAGAGCCCATGCATCTCATTAGGAAAATCTGCTTTTAATATTTTGGTTTCAAGAAATGATGCATGACTTTTCAAATCCTTCCTGCAATTAATCCCTCCATGTTCCTGTGTTTAGAAAATGATTCATTACCTTTGAACCTTCCTTCCTTTGCCTGGATTTGTCCTTGGGGAGCCATTAACACACTCCGCGGTGAGCTAGGGTTACCTCGCCACCCGCCTCACGTCTTATTTGTTTTCACAGGTGCAGTACGCGGAATTGAAAGTCTGTGGCAGCCACAGCCCCCTTCGGAAGAAGCGCAGTGCCCTCTAGACCCACACCCACCGGGCACTGGCACTCGAGTCCGTGTGTGTGGATGACTCCGCTGTCGTGCTGTTGTGTTTCTGAAAGGCAGACTCTCCCTTTTTCACCCGCACAGATGCACACACACCTGCACAGCCCTGGAGGCGTTGTGGGCCAGCCCAGCAAAAGGGAACAATCCAGAGCAAAGGTCCAGTGTCCACGCTCGAAGGGAGATGAAGCTCGGCCGCCCTGGGCCTGGACACCATCCTTGAGGAAAATCCAGAAACACTTGGCTTTGAGAGTGACTTTGAACTTGTTTTCACACCTCTGGAAGGCTCTCATTAAGATTCAGTTATTTCCACTCCCTACTCTTTACAGATTGTTGTTCATGTGAATTTTTTTTCTCAGTCTTAGCAAGTCTTGGATAACCGTTGTCTACCTAAATAATGCACATTAGAAATCAATTTTTAAATATTTGCCAGGATTAGCCCAAATCTTTGAGAATCACTCAGCTCTAAGGCCTGCAGGTAGAATTCCAGTGAAGTCCACGGTGCTGGACACAGCATGCATCAGGGTCCGTTGCTGGCAATGGATGTCTGGGAGGGTCCTCAGGGGTGACCCCTCCAAAGAAGTCTAGGTTTCCTGAAAGTATCTGGTTGCCTTAAAATGCCATTTCTTTTGACTTTTCATTTTGTTTATTTCCAAAATAAAATGTCTATATGAAAACTTCAGAAAGAACGAGAAGCAGGATGAATGGATAAATTCCCAGCATACTCAGAAAGATAAAGACTAAGCGGCCAGGTTATTTCTACCTGTGGCTGCTTCCCTAATTGTCCCAATCTGTTCTTGCCTGAGTTTTTGAGCAGAAAGTAAAAATACTTTAGCAGTCCAAATTGATCTCTGTTCCCCTGTGGGCAAAATCAACTACTCGTTATTAAAATATATCTCGGAACCCTACTTCCAAAGTGTACCAACCCGAAGTCTTTCTTTAATTTTCAGATTCCTGTGTACCCCACCATTTCACTGTACCCTGCCTAAGTAAAAATCCCAACATTGTGTGTATATAAAATGCATGCAGATACCTTTGTGTTCAAATGATGTTTAAGTTATAAAAACTGTATTTTGTTGACACATACCTTGTGCAAAATATATATGTGTATATACACACACATATATGCATGATATGTATGTGTATATATGTGTGTGTATACATGTATGTATCTATACACACAGTATGGTAAAGAAAAGTTTGAGATAAAAACACTGATTTAATGGTGAGTTTTACTATGTTCTTCCCTCCTCTGTGTTGTAATTTAATAATCTTCAAAGAAAATGTTTATGAAAAATGCCAAAGATTCTAAACCTTATCATCCCGTGTCTGTTTTTCTTCATTTTATATCTTCCTGGGTTGCTTTCTGGCAAAGCCAGATTTCTGCATGATTTGATTTACTTCAAGTTAATGAAGCTGGCTGGAAAAGAGCCTTGCAGAAATTATAAAAGCTCCACTAAATCTCTTAGTTGTACATACAATAGATACCCAAGAACCTCTTTTGTTAAAGCAGTTACTCAATCTTCTGTGTAAACAATGCCTCATTGTCTCACTCCAACTATCATCTAGTTTATCATAGTCTGTCATTTTGTAACGACCTAAGTCAGACATTTTTAAACAGACATGTGAGATCTGATCAATCATTTGAATGAAAACTTTCAGCAGCAAAAGAACCCCTTATTTATTTAAAAGTGGAACCAATACTTTATTGTTGTTCTTTTGCTATAGAATTTCAAAATGAAATAATTTACCCAAGAAAAAGCTTCATTAGTTAGACTTATTTCCTCTGTAGCCTGAATGGAATTCTCAGTGTTAGGTTTAGGACACAAACAGCAGCTGGAGTTCAAGATCAGGACCGAATCAACCTTTAATAAATGGTATATGGGAAACATTTCTAATTAAGTAGACATTGGGCATTGAAAATGCATGTCAGTTTTAAATGGGATCTTAAGGTTTGTTCAAGTAAGCAGAAACTTGTATAAAAGATTCCAGAAAGCTTTAGATAAAATTTATGGCATATGGATTCACAGGGTGATAATTAAAGATAATTTGGTAGGATGGTAAAGTCTTGCCAAGCTCTCCTGGCTCTCTTTTGAAGCCTCACATGCCCATTTCTAGCCCTGCTGGATGACTTACTGGCACTTTTTTATGCCTTAGTACATCAGAAACTCAACAGCCTCATGCCCTCCATGACGTCAGCACTCCTGGTCTGCTAGTCACGTTTTAACTTCCTTATTTCCCTTATTGGCATGAGCTGGAAGGCCCTGGGGGGACTCCCCATTTCTGTTCTTCATGCCTCCCCCCCCATATAAAATCCGGTAGACTCAGTATTAACACACTATATTGCCCTTTTCTGGACAAGCCACCACCCAAGTTGAGTCCCTCAAACTTGTCACAAATCACATATGGTGCCAATTAAATCCTGCCAGGTTAGTTCTCAATGGGAGTACTCTTCTAGAATAACCTCTCTCCAGTCTGTCTAAATAAAGTCTATGCTCCTTCAAAACTTTCATAAGTCTCCACCACAAATAGGTTTTCTTAGTTCCTTGACTGGATGAAATGTCATCTCCTTCCCCCACATTTAATATCTTTCTAGCATGTGCCAAGTTCTCCCATTGCTCTTAGTTGCTGAGACCTTGATACCGACGCCCTCCTCAAGAAAGCCCATTTGAGGTAGCACCTAAAATACACTCTATAAATACCTGTTTAACGGCCTGCTGATCAGTGCCTTTTCTTTCTTGGCATTTCATATGTGACTAGGATTGACCTCTCCTATTAATGTGATCTATCATTTGCAATACATACAAAACTTACATTGTGATATTTATCATGTTAATTACAAACCTTTAAATTAGATAATATCTTATATTTGGAGAAATTCTTACAAGCCAAAGGAAAATATACCTATTTGTGGGTGGTAAAACAAATTTTCCATTTTTGTTTATTTCTCATTATTTATAATTTCACCAACACATTGAAAACGGATCATATACCTGAACAAAACAGACTACCCCTGCTTGGTTAGAACGAGACATTAAACAGATTGTTTGCAAGCAGTGACATGACATTCTGAGATTCAAAAGAGCACTCTGACCGTACTAGGTAGGCTAACAATAATGAATGTCTGAGAAGAGGCGCTTGCATGCGCCTGGTAAATTGATGATAGCTTAGATCTTCAAATAGTGGCATTGGAAAAAGGAAAAGTATAAACAAAAATGGGATATCGTTAGGAGATCAATCAAGCAAGACTTAAAGCTTGTTTGGCTATGGGTAAGAAAGGATGGCTCTGTTTCTAGGGAGATGGTGTCACCTTTGTGGAAGGACAGAATTCTAGCAGCAGCTATAGGACGAACTGCGTGAGCCTGGTTTTAGATGATGTTGAAAGAGACAATAACAAAAACAAAGAGAAACCCCACCAACTGGGAGAACATTTTTGCACACAACACTAATGATAAAGGATTGATCACAAAAATCTGCAAAGAGCTGATGAGACTCAACAACAACAAAGAAAATAATCCAGTCAAAAAATGGGCAGAAGAGCTAAAAAGAAAATTCTCCAAAGAGGAAATGCAAATGGCCAACAGGCATATGAAAAAATGTTCAACATCACTTGTAATCAGGGAAATGCAAATCAAAACTACCATGAGATACCATCTCACACCAGTGAGAATGGCACATATTAAAAAAACTAGCAACAACAAATGTTGGCGAGGGTGTGGAGAAAAAGGAACTCTTCTGCACTGTTGGTGGGAGTGCAAACTGGTCCAACCACTATGGAGAGCTGTGTGGAGATTTCTGGACCTACTAAACATAGAGCTTCCATAGGATCCAGCAATTCCACTCCTAGGTATTTACCCAAAGGACACAGAAACATCAATTCCAAAGAACACCTGCACCCCTATGTTTATAGCAGCACTGTTTACAATAGCTAAGCTTTGGAAACAGCCCAAATGCCCAAAAATAGATGACTGGATCAAGAAGATGTGGCCCATATACACCATGGAATATTACTCAGCATTCAAAAAAGATAAACACATGCCATTTGCAGCAACATGGATGGCGCTGGAAGGGATTATGCTCAGCGAAATAAGCCAGGAAGAAAAAGAAAAATACCGGATGGTCTCACTCATAGCAGGAATCTAGAAAACTTAAATAAGGGACCAGGAAAATGAATAACTATAAGAAAGTGAAAAATCAAAATCAACAAACAACTATGAACCAGAGACACTCTATGGGGGGTAGAGGGTGGGAGGGGAGGGATTGGGATCAAAATAAGGAGGTTGCAATTGTATGGGGAATATAAAAATAAAAGTTATTATAAAAAATAAATAAATAAATATTCTCAAAAAAAAAAAAAAAAAAAGAAAGAAATCTCCAGGTGGGGGTGCCAAGGAGGTAACAATATATGGATCTGGAATTCAAAGAAATACATAGCACTTGAGAGATACATAACTTACAAAATGGTGGACACTACATGCTTCAAGATTTTGAACTCAAAAGTCACAGGTAAAGATAAACAGACTAAAAAGGAATTAAATAGGAGAAAATCACGAAGCACGTGCTGTTATGGAGTTTAGTATCAGAGTGTGTTTCAGGAAAGATGTGTGGTCAATGCACCAAATGCTGCTGTGATCACAGAAGTTGAGGGTAGAACAATCACCTGAATGACATGGAAGTTTGGGGGTGCGTTGGTCATTTCAGTGGAGTGGCAGGAGTGGAAACCAGAATTGGGTTTAGAAGTGACTGAATGTAGGAGAATGGAGAATGGATAGACTTACCTTTTGGAAAGTTCTGCGGGGAGGTGAGGAGATAAGGGAAGTCACTTGGGATGAAGGAAAGTGTGTGGGGTGATATTTGTAAGGAAAAAAAAATGTGTCACGAACCAGTGTATTAAATCATAGCTACAAAAAATTCTTTATAGATACAGTTAACCATAATCATTATTTGAGAATTATGCTCTGTCAAAACCCACCTCTTCTTCATGTAGTATTAATCTTTTATCACAACAGAAATGGTTGAAAATGGAAACAAAATATCCTCTGAAAATATTATCTGTAGTCAATCGATCATTGGATGGAAGTTGAAGGGTGGCCTCTAATAACGGCATGAAGTGTGGTACCCCTCTTTAGATAGGTCTCTTTGTATAAAGCCTGCCGTTCTTTTCTGGCATTTTAATGTAATGATTTACATGCGGAAAATGGATAAGCGCTTAAGAATAGGTAATATTTTATAGCACTTATCAAATGCCAGTTACTTTCTAGATATAATAGCTTATTTAATAATAATAAAAAGGAAAGATGAAATTCCTCTAAATATTTCAGGGAAAAAAAAAAAACCAGCAGTCTTGCACAAACTCTCCCAGAAATAGCAAATAAGTTCAACCTTTTTCTACACATTTTATTAAGTTCTTATAATGCTCACCCTAAACCCAATAGGGTAATACAAGAGTGAAAATTACCTCTCAAAATCTCTTATGAATGGTGATATAAAATTATTATAATAATTATACATTATATATTATATAATTATAATATAATCTTACTATATAGCTATACTATAATATAATAACAATATAATAATAATTATTATTATTATAAGCCTCTACACTGAAAACATCGATGAGGGGAAGAAAGTAAATAGATAAAAGGATTTATGGAGGCTGGCATACTGGAAATACATATACCTCACATGAATAATCTATTCCCTCTTCCCCCCCCCCCTTTTCACACATTAAAGCTATAGAGTAAAAAAGGTAATAGAACTTTTTTTGGTTTCTGAGGAAGTCTGTGTCTTCTCTATAATGGGAAGAAAGAGATACATGGATGGATGGATGGGTGTGTGGGTGGGTGTACGGGTGGGTGGGTGGATGGATGGGGGTAGATAGATTGAGATAGACCTATAATGTAGTGTTGAGGAGGAAAACTCTGCTTTCTTAAGTTCAATAGTTGAATTAAGTCAACTGAAGATTAGCAAGAGGAAAAAACAGATTTTAATCATGCATGTACATAAGGGAGTTTACAAAGTAATGTGACTCAAAAGGCCTCGATAGACGAGTGGACGGAGGAGAAAGACATTTATGAAAAGACTAATCACTTCTTAGAGGGGGGAGAAGAGAGACGTGGCACAGGGGAAGACAATGACTTTCAGGAAAACTGCTGTAGTTAGGCCCTTAAGAGAAGAGGCAGAGAATCCTTCCTCAGGTGTGCTACCTGAGTTCTCACTGTCTCTGGCAACGAGTCAGCCTTCCCGGGCTGCTGTGGGGGAGGAGATTGAAACCACTGTGTTCTTTGGAGGCTCTGCTTTAGTCAGATAAAAAAGTTCAGGAAAACATCCTTCATCTG